GAGAGAGAGAGAGAGAGAGAGAGAGAGAGAGAGAAAGAGAGAGAGAGAGCGCCCTCAGAGAAAATCAACTTAAATCAGGAAAGGTTTATTTTGGTTCATAGTTCCGGAAGTTGTTTCCACCTACGGCTGCTGGTCTTATTGCTTTTGGACCTCTAGTGAGGCAGCATGCCATGGCAGAGAGCGCACGGTGGACCAAACCTGTGCACTCCACGGCGTCAGGAAGCAGAGAGGGGCAAGAAGAGGATGGGGTCCCGTTGTACCCTTCAAGCTCTTCCCCTGCATGAACTTCCTCCCGCTAGGCCCGCCTCCTGAAGGTTCCGCCTCCCAGTAGCTCCCAGGCTGGAGACCAAGCCTTCCACACGAGAGCCTGTGGGAGGCATTCAAGATCCAGATCATAAAAAAAAAAAAAAAAGATCCAGCTCATAGCTGAGAGGAGGAGGAGGAAGGAGAAGAAGAGGAAAAGGAAGAGAAAGAAGAGAGGAAGAGGGGAGGAGGAAGAGGAAGGAGAAGGTGGAGAGAAGCGGTGGTGGAGGAGGAGGAGGAGAGATAGAGGAAGGGGAGGTGGGGCGTTCACGGGTGGTGACCCAGAGTCCTGCCCCTGCCGCGCCCTCGCTAACACCAAGGTCTTCTCTGGTCGGTGGGGCTATCAGTGACCACGACGAGGCTGAGGGGAAGATGGTGGACGTCGCATGGACAGCGTCTACGCCTAAGTGCCGCTTCTCAAGGAAGGAAAGCATATGCGCGCTTCTTGTAAAAATAGGATTTTTAATAAGACAAAAGATGGTGGCACCTGCTGATCACATTTTGTTTTCAAAGTGGATTCTCGAGATACTTTGGTCCCCGCTGTGCCGTGTGCACAGGTCCTGCCTGACTGCTGCTCACCGAGGCTCTGCTGGGTCCCCGCCTGCCAGCGCCTTCCCTTCCCTTCGCGACACTGTCACTCCACAGGGCTCCGGCGACGCAGTCAGATGGCCATGCTGATGTCTCGTCTGCTCGCTTGACAGGAGAGAAATGTTGCAGAGTGACTTAATCCTTTCACTCCCTAGGGCTTTCCCTCTAAGTGCTCCCTCTTAATCTAATAAAAACTTATCAGTGTTGGTAGACGTCTGTCTGCTGCAGCCCCAGAGTTTGCTTGGCCCCGTCTACACCCACCGTTGACAGAGGAGAGGCCTGTGTCTGCCCCGGCCCGTGTCTGCTCAGGGGACAACAGCCGGCGGCTGACTGCCGAGGGGCTGATTTCCAGGAGCTGACACCCTCTCCCCACAGGAAAATAGGAGCCCTGATTAAATACAACACAGCGGAATTCGATTTTCCAACATAAAGAGGACCAGAAACACCTGTGCACTTTGCCTAGGGCAGTGGCGACAACTGGAAGTGGGTTAAGAGGGAGAACTGCACATGCCAAGGCGGCTAGGACGGAGAAAATGAAGGGAAGCCTTATACAAGGAAATAACCTGACAACATGTCTCTTCTTTATTTACTTATTTGCAACTTTTCAAAAATTATAAAATAGTGTATACATCCAAGGCCATAGATGTTAATACTTTGCCACATTTCTAGTGGGTCTGTCAATCTAAGAAATAAAATGCCATAGATATGCCTAAAGCCCACCTCCCAAATACCCCCCACTTCTCTGTCTCCACAGAGACAGCTACTGTCTTAGCTATTATCATGCATGCCTTATTTTACTACCTCTCCATCCAGTAATCCACAAACTATGCACTATTACATGTATCAAAACTTACCGGCAGGGTATTTATGTCCATGTACCTCTCGTGTTTTTAACACCAATATTATGTTTTTGAGATTTCATCCATTTATTGTGGTCACAAGTAGTTACAAAGTGACGGTATTTTAGCTACTGGAGAGGTAGCATTGGGAAAATAAAAGTCACAAGCAGTACAATTGTTAGACAGATAATACAAAAGTAAAATATATGCTATGATATAGATGACATAGTGTATGGGAAAATATGTGATGGCAGCGATGAATGCAGACAGAAGTTAAGGAATAAACACGTGAGGCGGGAGGGGGGAGGACACGGCGTTTTGGACACACCCGCAGTTTCGGTTTCGGGTTAGCAGCTGCAGCTCCTTAGCCTGGGAGAGAGGCCGCTCTATTATGCAGTGCGTTGGCTGTCACGTTCCTCCTTCCTCAAACCCCTCTGGGAACTGCTGAGTCATAAGTATGCATATCTTCACCCACATCTCCATCCAGCTTCCCTGCCTGACCCGACCGACACACACTCCCAGCAGCCAGCGTGAGGCCTCTGTTTCCCCACACACTCACCGCTCCCTGTCAGACTTTCCTTCTGAAGCTGCCTTTCCGCAGGTGTCCCTGTAGGTTGTTGCTGCTTTCCATCTCTATTTCCCTGATTATTACCATTGTGGCTATCTGTTTTCACTATATAGGTTTCCTTTCTAGAATTGTTTGCTCATGTTTTGGGTCATTTTTCTATGAGGATGTTTGTCTTAATTTTATTCATGAATATAATTTCTTTAGTGTAGGTTGGTCCTTTTTTACTTATAGGAATTGCAGATGGTGTATACTCTTGTCTCCTTGTGGCTGATCTTTTTTCTTTGTGTATGGGAAAGTAAATCCACATTGACTGGACCAGGAGATCCAGGATTAAAACCAGTACAGTCGGAATGATCAAGTCTGTCTTTTGTGCTTTTCATTTCTTAAGAACCACCTTCCTAGCTGGGCACAGGGGTGCAAGCCTAAAATCTCAGCTACTTGGGAGGCTGATGCAGAAGGATCATTGCGAATCTGCGGCCAGTCTGAACCACTTGGCCAGACTATGTCTCAAAATGTAAATTTTTAAAGGGCAAGGGATGTAGCTCAATGTT